TCCCAGAAAACAAAAAGCTATGTGAAATGATGAGTAAAACACCCAAGACTTCCTGAAAGCTCCTAAGACCTCAAAACCACAAGATACAGATCAAGCCCTTGTATAACTTGATACGGGTTACACTCAATGGTCTTGGAGGTCTTTTCCAGTCTTTATGATCCTATGGGAAATCCCAGTGCAAATCTGAGATGCTTCTGGGATTCTGTTACACAAGTCTCTAAGAGTTGCACAGTACTTTAAGTTGCCATCATTCGATACAATTTCTTATATTCATAAACTATTAAATATGCTAATTTAGACTTTCCTATTAATTGGGTCACTTAAGCATGTTACATCTGGAAAAGCTTTTGTGAAAAGGCATGACCTCCTTGATAAAATTTAAAGGCTTTTAAAAATAATAAATACATTACTCATTTCAAGAAAACTGTTCAACAGGATATAAGAACATTATTTTCTTTTTCTCCCCCTTTCTTGTTATTTTAGCACTTTCATATCTCTACCAGTTTGACATACACATGTTAAAAAAAACCTTAAAAGCATGCAAAACATTGCCTTAGTCTGCAATTTTAAGCTCTTTTTCTGACCCAAATTTGCACTGCTATCCCTTGAGCTGAAAGTAATCATATTGTTAAAAGGTGATATTTGTAGATGTTGCCTCCTTCAGACAAATCCAGACCTGAATTTTAAGACATGCTCATTGATTCATTCTTCAAACAGCAAAAGTGTGAGTTGTGAATCCTGGTGCTTTAGAAGTAGGTTTGTAGCTGTCTGCTACAGTGTTCAAAAGCAAGCCAATGTTCAAAACAGGCAAGCAGTTAAGATTTCTTCTGAATATCATCTTCTACTTGGGTTATGCCTAAATTAACACTTATGGGACACCAACAGGAAAAGTGGAAATGGAAGGACAGGCACCGACCTCTCTGCTGGCCAGTGACAGGACCCGAGCGAATGGCATGAAGCTGTGTCAAGGAAGGTTTAGACTGGATATTAAGAAAAGGTTCCTCACCCAGAGGGTGGTTGGGTGCTGGAACAGGCTCCCCAGGGAAGTGGTCACAGCACCAAGCCCGACAGAGTTCAAGATAGATGTGGACAACATAGTCTGGGACACACAGTGTGATTCCGGTGGTTGTTCTGTGCAGGGCCAGGAGCTGGACTTGATGGTCCTTGTGGGTCCCTTCCTACCCAGGATGTTTTATAATTCAATAAATTCTGGTTCAGCAAGGCAACTCAGCTTAAGGGCAGCACACCAGCATTTGTGTAACTATAAGCTTCAGTTCTACAGAAGCAAGCAAGAAAGTTAAGATTTTTCCTGGTGTAGACTTTGAGACTGACCTGACTTTTTGGGAGACCTTGGATCACTGACAATTGCACCTGACTTCAACAAGGGCTGTGCTCAGTGTCTACAAAGGACTTTTATTGAGATGTCTGACTTCAGATTAAACATATGTATTTGAAAATTTTCCCTGCCCTCCACAAACTTATGAAAAATCATGCACTAAAGCTAAAAATAACTGGGAGCCTTTTCTGCTATTTATTCTGCAGAGACTAGCATGATAGCAATGCCTCAGTTTGAAGCATACTACTCTGCAGATTTTTGTCTTTTATTACAGTGCTTCAAGCTATTGCAGTCCAACCAGCCTTGGAGACCATACGAACAGTTTGCAAGTGTTTGTACTGCACAGTCCAGACCTTTTGATGCGTGGAAGTCTGTACTTGAGGACCTAACACGGTCACTTTATATCTTACCTTCCTAGCTATATGAAAAACACCAATGGAAGTGGGAAAGTTTCCAAGAATGAAAGTTGCATGGTAGGCAGCCGATTTTGAAGGTTGGTTTAGATGGTTCAGATTAAGTGCTAATCCTCTCAGTATGTTTTAGCGAAACAATTATTACTGAAATCCTCATTATGATTCTGTGGTAGTTCATCTATGTATCTCCCAAGGATAACGCTGAGATTATTAACAATTAGGTGCTGGTCATTTTGTAATTTAAAGACTGTCACAGCTTTATAATTAAAATGCAAACACAGGAGTAAAATTTTATGTTGTTGAATTGTATGCAGCTTGGACAGGATACAGTTCAACACACTTTAAAGGGCTTGACGTAAAAGTAGCATTCAGTTCCAGAAAACCCTTAATTTGTTTTTGTGCTTGCACAGAATATAGGTTAAATATTTGAAAAAAGAGACAAACCACTTTAAACATTTGAAATTCTGCCTCCACCTTCTCACTGACTCTGTGCCCTCCATAGCTGTTCTAATCAGCTATGTATCTATCAACATGTCCTCTTACCCTTCTCTCTTCTCTGTCCCTCTCCCTGCATTCAGGCTCTATTCAATCTCATTATGCCTTCATTTAACATATTATTCACACAGAGTCCTTCATCTCTGTCTTCACTGCTAAAGGCACAGTTAACTCTGTAGACCAGAATCACCACTCTGAAAACCCCGTAACAGAACAAAGAACATTATAGAAAGGCCAAGTGCCACACCTTATGCAATAATAACCCATGTAGTTACTGCAATTATACACACCAACCCAGCATGGTGCATGAACCCATCTAGCACTAAAAAGAGGATGATGAACACTGTGGTCTAAAAAACAGGATCACTGCACATTTAACACAGCTGCACATTAACACATGGCCTGCTCTGTATTTATACTTCATAAACTGGTAAGAATGAAGGAGTAAGAGAGGAAGGAACAAACTAGCAAATGCTGGGTTTTGTCAAAAAAACCCCAAACAAACGGGAAAAGCAGATAGCAAACTTGCAATAAAACAACCAACAGCAATTATAAAGCAGTTTGCTATGCTTTTATTAACAATCACCTCTCTTCAGTCAGTCACCTGTTCAGTTTGTCCATTCATCACCAATAGCAGTATGCACTTTAGCAGGGCATATTTTCTAGAGATGTCACCCAGAGAACTGACTGAAGAGAAAGCCTTGACTGTTATTTAGAAAGGGTCCCATAACCTGTTTTATAGACACATAAATGAGCCTCAATCAAAAAATTACGTGAAGCTTTACATATGAAACACTGAGTTTGACTCTAAATGAAGAAGGCACTAAATCTAAATCAGTGGAAAGAAAATATGCACCAAAATACCAAGCAATCAAGTAAACAGAAGTGGGTGGCATTCTCTTTTCTTTCTCTCCTACTTTTCTCTCCAGACCTACTCTAACACAAAGCTTCAAACAAGCAGTGTGATCTGATAAAATATGGAGTGGGCTGCACAGCCAGGGCCATATTTGAGAAACACATAATTAGGATGGTATGCTGTTCCTGCAGGGAGCCCCAAATGCTGGTTTTTTCCTCTACTGTTATGGATTTCTTTGAAAGTGTGGAGACAGAACCCACAGGGGAGAAGTCATAACTGTCTTGGGGCAGAATGACAATTCTTTTTTAATTTTTCAGCAAGAAGCAACACTGAATTGGATGGAGATGCAGCATTGCCTCGGGCATATTTTTTCCGATGTAGACAATGAATAATAGAAGAAAGATGATATGAACGACTAGTATTACTGCAATTCATTTTCAGTCACAATAAAGCTAGCTACAGGGTCTGGCAAAGCTAACTTGCTGCTGGCAACTTCATCCCTGCCTTCTTGGGATGAAGAAAGATCTGTAAGTGCATGCTTGATTGTCAAGTTGTTCTTCTCTGAACAGTTCAAGATGGTGAAAGGAAAAAATTACACATAAGCTCCTAGAGCATCCTGTTGTGCACTCTATTCCATTATGCCCCAATTAAATAACAGAGTCCACGGTATCAGCCATTTGCTTTAATTTCAGATGTAGGCAGAATCATGGCAGCACACCTCGCTAGATTTCTCAGTACTTGATTCTCAGTCTGATACAAGAAAAGCATGGCTGCAGGAGAAAGTGCATTTGCTGACTCTCTGTGCTTGATCCTACAAATGAATCTGATCTCCCTTAGCAGGAGCTGGGGAACAACATCTCTGAGAAGTCTCTGCTATTCACCACTGACTCTACTCCACTATTCATTCTTTGCTGAACTCTGTAAAAGGGCACTGAGGGCACTACATCAGAGACTAGGGCACTGAGGATTCACCCTCAAGTCCTGCACTTGAGGCAGCAAAACCTTCTGCCTCTACCAGAAGACTCATTTTGTTAGAGTCTGCTTCATGCTGCCTTGCAGTTCAGACCATATCCCACACATCACCAGCATGTGTGCCCCAACTTCTTCTACCCTCTGAAACACCAGAAGCAGCTGGCCAGTTCAACACACAGATGCTCCACACACAGGAAGCAAGAAGAGTCCTGTGACAGAACTTTGCTTGGAAACAAGTGGGTGAGAGTCTTCTCACTTCTGCTAACAGAACCACACTAGGACACAGATTTCCCTCTCGGGGCCTAGTAATGCAACCATCAGCCTCTGCACCCTGCCACACCACAGTACATAAAGTTGCTCTTTCACGGTGGAGAAGTAAATACTTGACAAATGTTTGTGAAGTGCCCAACACGGTTCAGTTCCCACCCTGAAGGATACTGCCCTATGCTACAGCAATATGCAATGACAACAACGGCAGAGCTTACTTCTTCCATCTCTGCTGCCCCAGGATGTTTAAGGAGGAAAATTAAAGAACAACCGGTTTGTTCTTATGGTAGAAAGAGGTGACAAATATTGGCCTTTCAGCAGAGGCTCTACTTTAAACCTCTCAGACCTCCAGAAACACATCACTTGTTCAAATACAAACATATCATACTATCACAAGCTATTGACCTACCTGAGCTTCTGTGGACAACACACCCAAATAAGAACAGAAAACGTCTGGCTATTATAATGAATTACTTACTGTACAAGACATAGGGCAAAAGCATGCCACTGATACCAGAACATAGGATCTTTTCAGCATGTCATTACTTCTGAGGCTGAAGTTCCTTTAGATTTGTCTGCCTCTAATTTATGATGAATCTCTGAACCCTTGCATTCAGTGTCAACAGATGATCACACATTACAATCACTAAAATTATATTACCTTACTCCACCTTTCACAGATGAAAATCAGCATGTGTATCCAGTTCTTATTTCAATAAAGTCTGAAAGACACAAAAAGGACAAATTGTTTCTGACTGAATAGATCCAAATAAATAGGCCAGTAGTATAGGAAATTCTGGGGAGGGGCAAAGTAATAAAACACACTAAAAACTTGTAAAAATGCAGACTGTTAACATTTTATAACATAGTTTCATTTGAAATAGAATTTGAACTGTGCAATAGTTCTGAGGAAAGAGAATGTAAGAAAAAAGTTGAAAGTGAAATTTCTGTTCTGCCTAAAACAGCTGTCACTACCCTAACATTTCACCCATGGACTGTTCTCAGCCCCCACGGTGACCTTAAGACATGATCATTATTTTGGAAGGGTACTGCTCCAAATATTCAGTTTTACACTTTCTAAAATGATGCAAGTGCTGTGCTGCAACCCAACAGAACAGTGCTTTACAGGGGTAACTCAGGAGCAGAGGGCACAAGGGCAGCTGGGGTGTTGGAAAGTGCACAACCTGCTGGGATGGAGAGTGAGGTGAGGTACACAGACAAAACTAGCACAGTGCTGCCCACACAGGGAACAACCCATGGGATGAATTATCTCTACCCACCTGGTCACTACAAAAGCAAATCCAGAAGTCAAGTAACACGCAGTATAAAAAAAGGTGGCCAATCAGGATGAGAAGCAAACTGGAGAGCTAAATATGGATGAATCTGAAGAATAATTGGCTGGGCTACAGGACAGTCCAAGACAGCAACCAGTTGAATACACTAGCTCACCTTCTCAGGATTTTAACTTGAAGGCAAAAAAGAGACAGGCTTCCTCTAATGCAATCCTATTAAAGTTACTATCTCCTGCTAGAGCCCAGACATCTGAGCCATACCTCAGATACATCACTTTTTAGATCTTCTTTTTTTTTCTAATGCCATGAAACTGGAAGCAGTAGCAACTTTGTTTCATGCTTCCAAAATTATTACAGAAAGAAAACAATTATTTATAAGTAATTACTCAACTGCAAACCCATGACAACAACTGACGCACCACACAAATTGGTCACTCAGTTTCACACCTCCACCTCTCTATTTACACTCAGAATTACAGAATAAAAACATTAACTCTGTATGGGGGAGGTAGCAAACAACTCCATGGATCAAATTTTTTATCTTAAGGCCAAAACACAAACTTTTCAGCTAGTATGCTCTCCAGGACAAGAATAAGTATGATTTTCAACCTGAAATATCTGCCATTGTGATTCAACAGAGCATGTTAGAAATCTGACTGTGGTACCACAAAACTGTGATAAGGCAACAGGTTCCTATGTAGAGAGGATGTTTCTCTAGTAAAATGTGTAGATGAGGCAAACATATAAATATAGACAGTAAGATTAAGAAAGCTAAAGCTTTAATTCACAGAAAAATACACTGATAGTCATGAGCAAAACACTCCTTAAAACATTAAATTCAGTGAAAATTTATACATGAAGCAGTGTTCAGATTTATGATGCAGTAATTAAAACGCAATTCATCAGTTTACAGTGCTGTGTGTAAATAACACCAGTTACACTGCTGTGTAAGGAACTGGAAAACCAATACTGGAGAAGAACCAGGACCGAAGCACAAGAAAGAAGTTAAAACGTACTAAGACAAAACAGCACACTACAGACTAAAAAGAACTTCCTCTACCATTTGGGAGTTCATCATTTGAGAAAAAACAAGAAGAAAGAAGACTTCCGTGCCACACAAGGCAGTCGCAAAAGGGGCAGATGCTGCATTAGGGTGTACCAGCCAATGTGCTCTTCTCACTACAAAAAGCAGCAATGAGACTAAGTCAGGAACACTGGCTACAATAAGCTAAACACTGTCCATCTCACACCATCACATGTGTAGGGAAAGGCTTATGAGGACAACGAAGAGGTAGCTTCTCCAAAAACTTGGTAAGCTCAGCAAAGTGGAAGCTGAGTTACAATTTGCTCTTCAGAGATACATGACAAGGGCTAAACACCAGAGAACTGAAAAAAGCACCAAGATAAATAGGGTGTTAACAAAATAATTAAATAATACTTAAATAATAATTAAATTCCTAACTGGAATAATAGCAACCAAGAAAGCTAGTTTAGCCAAGTAAAAACTTATTTTCCATATAATAGGAGCTTTATGACACTGTTAAAACTAGACTCAACAACTCAAGAAACTCCATCCAGCCCCATCCTTCCTTGCACTCATTAGCAAACCATCTAAAATTTCTTACAAAATTATACCTCTTCATAGAAGTGGGCTATAAAGCAGCTCAAGTTTTGATCTCTTTTCATTGTCCAAAGTGAAGGTAGAACAAACTTGAGGTTCATTTATAGGACTGTCAGTTCAGATGAGAAGTTACAAAGCATTTTACTTATCCTGGCTTTTGAAGAGTCCCTCAATGAGGACAGAGGCATCTGACATTATATGGAGCTCTTTCCAGGGTTAAATATGATATGCAAATTATTGGCAAAAAAGTCATATGCTATTTTAAATCATTATTATTTTGGTAAATTCAGTGCAGGCACACAAAGTTCCAATTTGGTATCCTTTATAACTTCGACTGTATTTATTCAGTATAGTTATTTTTTTATTTTTCCATTCTAAAAGCAGGGCATGTACTGTGAAAGCTCCTAGACACCATGAAAGCTACTCACAAGGCAAGCTATTGCCAACCCCAGTCACAAGATCAAGGACCTGCTACATTATAATCCTGTAATATACTGTACAACCATTCACCTTCAGGACATCTAACATAAATACTTAAATCTGGTCAGTTATTATTCATTTCATTTAAAATTAAGAAATTAACATGGCAGAAATGATAAAGGAATCTAAAAACTCTATTTACAACACTATGACAAAAAATGACAAGTTCTATGGCCACAGGCAATTCCCTTTCAACTCTGTAGCTCAGTTCACATATCTGTAAAACAGGCACAGTGTGACCTAGTAACTACATCGAGTTTCTCTGCTGCCAAATTATATTCATACCTTGCTCACTACCTTCAGGAAATCATACCCATTTTGCAGAACATTTGCACTGAGATTAGTGATGTCTTTTAAAAGTAGCCCATCAGTAAGATTCTTAAAAAAATACTGTAACTTCTGCAGAGCAGGTAAAACCTACCTACTGATTATCTCTGTGAGTTCTACCCTCCTGCAGATGCTCTCCTGCTCTGCACCCCATTCTAAAAGCAACTTTGGTTCTTCAACTACATTTCTGTACGTTTTAATGGCACTCCAATTCTGGTGCCTGATCGAGAGTCATCAAACTGCTAGTTTTAGTCATAACAACTAAACTGAAGACCAGTAGTACCTGTCCAGGTAGTAGATCCCCAGAGACTCCAACGGCACTTGCATATGAACAATTCTAACTGAACATCAACTCAAGGCCCCCTTTCCCACCCTATATGGTAGAGTTTTTACATTACATTGTCCTGGAACAGCAGTAAAACCATAGCAGAGTTTGGTAATGCACTGCTGCAGACCACACCAAAGCACCATTTTCTTGACATGTCCTGCCTTTGGCCTTTTGCATTAAGAGATGATGACAGGGAAAAAAAGACTCTATTAAAGACTGCAGCATGGTTTTGCTTAATTAAAACCATACAGAAATTATTATGCAATCAACTGGTGATGGCAGTTCAAACCTTAAGTGCTTACTGCTGGATTTTAAAAGCCACTCAGATCCTTTGCTGTAAGGAAATGATATCTAGTGAGATTTTTTTTTCCTCCCCAATCGCCTGTACTTGCAACAAGGGTTTCCACACAAATTAAGGAGAACACCCGTTCCCTATCAAATCTACCACACCATTATTCCAAAATACTGCAGAAAGTGAAGCATATAACATTATTTTCTGTGGAGAAGTATCAAAGTGTTATAAAAAACAAACGTAAAAATAACAGGGCGTATGCATGCTCCCATTGGAAATCCCTCACTTTCTCCTCCACCCTCCCTTCTTCCCTCTTTCTGACTCACTGGACAGCAGCTAAATCATTCCAAGAAGTAAGGAATGACTAATCCTTTTCAATTGCAATTAAATGTGGTGACAACATCTCTGAAGGGTACCTGCAACCCATGACACCAGGTTTGATTTTGTCTATTAGTTAAACACAGAAAAACAAAGCTACTTTGAACAGAGCCTAGCTTTGATAGCTTTTATCCAAGTACACTCCAACAGATGTGCTAAGCTAACCTAAGCTATTGTCTCCCATTGCTTGTCCTCACTTTTCCCCTCCTCCTGTCTGTCAGCAAAATTGCATATGTTGGCATGTTGGTATGACCTCAGCTTCTTTAAAAAAAAAAAAAAAAAAGAGACAGAACTGAGATGGGGAAGGACTGTTCAGATTTGAGGAGCAAGAACCTCTGCAGTAGACAAGCAGCTGAGGATGAACCACACGACTGTAGAGCTGCAAACTAATGCTCAATCAAAGCAAGTGGTCAGGCCCAACATAAATCAGAACACATTTCCCGTAAACGTATTTTAAAGGCTCATGTTTTCAATAATCAGCCTACAAACCCAGGCAGCACGTTCTTTTTCTAGGTCAAAATAGCTATGACCCCTGCTACAAGTCACAAGCAGACAGAAAGCAGAATATAAGGTGTGTCGTTCTGTGCTCTGTCTGATCTTCTCCTTTGCCTTGTGGCAAATAAAATACAGCATTCTTTGAAGTCTTTTACAAACTACATACGATTAGTGTTTACAGAGCCATTGTACTGTCTACTCTTTTACATAGGCCTGAATCATGGGTCATTTACCGCCATCACTTGAGTCTCTTAGAACACTTCCATCAGCGCTGCCTCCATACAATCCTAAACATCCACTGGACTGACTATGTGACCAACACATCTGTCCTTGAACAGGCAGCAGTCACGAGCATTGAGGCCATGCTGCTGAGAACACAGCTGCGCTGGGCAGGGCACGTCTCCAGGATGCAGGACTACCACCTCCCTAAGATCGTGCTCTATGGGGAACTTGCCACTGGCTACCGCAAGAGAGGAGCCCCGAAGAGGAGATACAAGGACTGCCTGAAA